GGCGGCGGCATCACCGTGGTGAGCGGCGTCGGCACGGCAACATCGAGCGGCGCCGTGAGCGTGAAGTCAGCAAACGCCGGTACGAGCGGCGTGAGCGGGTCCATGACTTTGGCGACCGGGACATCGAGTGCTGGTATGTCGGGAGCGTTCACGATGGACACGGGCACTGCCACCGGCGGCAACTCGGGGAGTGTTGCTGTGACGACTGGCGGTGCGAGTACTAGCGGCACTGGTGGCGCTTTCACTGTGGCCGTGGGCGACGGCGACACGGGCACAGGCGGCGACATCGGCATGACCGCGGGCAAGTCCAGTGCGGCCGCGGGAGGTGCCGTGGGCGTGACCGCGGGCCAGGGTGCAACCCTTGGCGGCGGCGTGACCGTGACCGGCGGCGTCGGCGTTAGTTCCACAGGCGGCGGCATCACCGTGGTGAGCGCCGTCGGCACGGCAACATCGAGCGGCGCCGTGAGCGTGAAGTCAGCAAACGCCGGTACGAGCGGCGTGAGCGGGTCCATGACTTTGGCGACCGGGACATCGAGTGCTGGTGTGTCGGGAGCGTTCACGATGGACACGGGCACTGCCACCGGCGGCAACTCGGGGAGTGTTGCTGTGACGACTGGCGGTGCGAGTACTAGCGGCACTGGTGGCGCTTTCACTGTGGCCGTGGGCGACGGCGACACGGGCACAGGCGGCGACATCGGCATGACCGCGGGCAAGTCCAGTGCGGCCGCGGGAGGTGCCGTGGGCGTGACCGCGGGCCAGGGTGCAACCCTTGGCGGCGGCGTGACCGTGACCGGCGGCGTCGGCGTTAGTTCCACAGGCGGCGGCATCACCGTGGTGAGCGGCGTCGGCACGGCAACATCGAGCGGCGCCGTGAGCGTGAAGTCAGCAAACGCCGGTACGAGCGGCGTGAGCGGGTCCATGACTTTGGCGACCGGGACATCGAGTGCTGGTGTGTCGGGAGCGTTCACGATGGACACGGGCACTGCCACCGGCGGCAACTCGGGGAGTGTTGCTGTGACGACTGGCGGTTCCACCGGGGGTTCGGGCGGTGCTTTCAGCGTGACCGTTGGCACGGGCGACTCGGGCACGGGCGGTGCTATCACGATGTCCGCTGGCAAAGCCCCTGTTGGTGGTGCTGTCACGATCACCGCAGGTGTTGGCTCTACCACCTCTGGCGGGGATCTCGTCCTTGCGAGCGGTGATGGCGTGTCGTTGAGCGGCGCGGTGAGCATCAGCTCTGGGGATGCGTCCACTGGCAGAAGTGGTGAAGTCATCATTGCCACGGGCCTTTCACCCGGTGGTAAAGCTGGGGATATCAGCTTGACCGTTGGGGGGACTACGTCGGGCGTGGGCGGTGACGTGAGCATCTCTGCCGGCGCGACATCGGACACCACGAAAGCCGGAGGGCAGGTCGACATCGTGTCAGGCAGAGGCGAGACCTCGAGCGGAACGATGCACGTGCACACGAGTGATTCAAAAGCGAATGGCGTGAGCGGGGCGATGACCCTCCAGACCGGGACGTCGCTCGCAGGCGTGTCAGGCAAGTTGAAGCTCAATACCGGCACTGCAACTGCTGGGTCTTCAGGTGAAATCGACCTCGACACCGGCGGTTCCACCGGTGGCGCTGGCGGCGCTTTCAGCGTGACCGTTGGCACGGGCGACACCGGCACAGGCGGTGCAATCTCAATGACCGCGGGCCAGGGTGCAACCCTTGGCGGCGGCGTGACCGTGACCGGCGGCGTCGGCGATAGTTCCACAGGCGGCGGCATCACCGTGGTGAGCGGCGTCGGCACGGCAACATCGAGCGGCGCCGTGAGCGTGAAGTCAGCAAACGCCGGTACGAGCGGCGTGAGCGGGTCCATGACTTTGGCGACCGGGACATCGAGTGCTGGTGTGTCGGGAGCGTTCACGATGGACACGGGCACTGCCACCGGCGGCAACTCGGGGAGTGTTGCTGTGACGACTGGCGGTGCGAGTACTAGCGGCACTGGTGGCGCTTTCACTGTGGCCGTGGGCGACGGCGACACGGGCACAGGCGGCGACATCGGCATGACCGCGGGCAAGTCCAGTGCGGCCGCGGGAGGTGCCGTGGGCGTGACCGCGGGCCAGGGTGCAACCCTTGGCGGCGGCGTGACCGTGACCGGCGGCGTCGGCGATAGTTCCACAGGCGGCGGCATCACCGTGGTGAGCGGCGTCGGCACGGCAACATCGAGCGGCGCCGTGAGCGGAA